GGGACTGTTTCCTGATCCTGGGAGAGTAGACTACAATGCCGGCTGTTCTGACTCACAGACTGTAAGTAAGTTTTTTATATATAAAGAATTTGCCACTGACGATTCAAACACGAGTTTTGAGCAGTGTAGATTAGTGCTTGTTGTTTGTAATTTCTCCGACCACAAATGCAGACATGGTTTTATGTTTACGCGGCACATTGCAACGCTTAAAAAGACAGTATAAGTCATTATAATCCGTAATTATGTCCCCACTGGATGCAACAAATGCCTTGTTTATAATGGGTTTTCATGTTTTTGTCTTGTCGCTCCGGCCGGACAGGGCATCACAATATGGTAAGGTGCGTAACATTGCTGTCACATGCTTGAGGTATTCGGCCAATCACAACGCACTGGATAGCTGGCCAATCAGAGCACACCTCGCTTTTCAGACTGATGAGCTTTGTAAAAATCTACGCATTTCAGAAAGGCGGGGCATAGAGGAGAAACAATAATGTACACTATGTGGAAAATAATGTTTTTTTAACCTTAAACCACATAAACACATTTCATTACACCAAATACACAAAATAATATTATTTTTAGCAACATCATATGACCCCTTTAATAGTAAGAACTGGACATTATGGCCTATTTATTCTATTGATTTATTGATTTATTCTTTTTTTTGTGGCATATTCAAATATACAAATCTGTGTTAGTGGGAACTTTTCAAATATACCTAAATATAATTTTTATATTTTCAGCATGTTTCCTATATTTTCTAAATCTGATTTTACGACATTGTTGTCCAATATAGCAACTGTTAACCTTATGGTTAAGTTTCTTAAAATTGTGAAAGGTGCTCTCATCTAGAACCTACAGTATTTATCAATTCCAGAAATGTGGACATTCTCCAAAAAGAGCATCTCTAGAGCATCTAACCTCATCAAACAAGACAATATCCACAGTCTATAATCTGCTGAAACTCAATCCCGAGAGAGATTCTCGGGTAGCCAGACAGGGTCTATCATGAAAGCTAATTGGCCGGACCCTCCTTAGCCCCCATTTCACCGGCCAAGACATAGTGCCTCCATGTAACTCATTCACACTGGACATGGGAGAATTTCAAAGAATAGAAGTCAAGAACAAAGTTGAATGGGAGGAAGTCAATCCAGATAGTGAGAATCCCAGATGGTCAAATTAGCCAAATTGAAGGTAATTCTGACGCACATAATGGCTCCTCATAAGATGACTGGAGATAGAAGGTGTGCACAGCTGGGAATTGCCTTCTCTGCTATTTTTAACATGATTTTAAAAATGGAGAGTAGTTCAATTCATAAATCATGATTACAAACAGCACTGAAGGAACTTTTGAGCGCGAGTTATTTGAACATGAGTTCAGAATGGAATGTACTTTATATTTGTTACTTTCTGTATTTACTGAATTAATGAGGCTTGGGGAGTGAACAATGCGTATCCGTGGGAAAGAGGAGTGTGTGTGTGTAAGCATGTGCATGTGTGAGTGTGCTTTAATGTGACTGGGAATGTGGTTGAAATCCACAAAGGGAAGAGATGTGTGTGTGTGTGTGTTAAATACGTGTGTGCCAGTCTCTAGAGACGTGCTGTTGTTCCTGCTGCTGAAGGAGTTGTGAACACGGTGGGAAGGTCACCTGATCAGCGCCCTGGGGGCGACCCCGGTAGGCCGCCACTGCAGCGTGTCCGGGAGGATCGAATGCAAGTGACAGGCGTGGGCTCCCATCACAAAAAGCTCTCTGTGGTTGTAGCGCAGGGGCCGAGGAAGTCAGCGATGCTCCTCTCCCTCCCTGGCCAAAGAGCCATGAGAACAACCCTGAGAGAGGATGGAGGAGAGAGATCTGGAGGAAAGCCATTACTTCCCCCCATCTACACTGTAGCGATGGGACATTCAGTTCATTTCAGTGAATTGATTCTTTTGAGCAGTTTATTTTAATGAATCAAATCAAAGAATCGATTCAGTGGTTCTTTGAAGCCATCCACATGAAAATATCATTTTAAATCAATTTTTCATTTATTGAAATTCAGTATTTCTCAGTTTAGTTTCTTGCAGCCATGATTTAGCTTTTAGAAACATAATTGAGTTTGTTAGTTTATTTGTTATTTGTTTAGTTTACATCAGTTTTATTATTGCTAAAATAAAGTATAAATATTAGATGAAAAATTTTACAAATTACAAAGAAAAATTAGAAATTAGTTTAAGTTGAAGCACTAAAATGATATCTTGGAAATAAATAATAATTAAAATAAAAAATAATATAAAGCCAAATATTAATATTAGCACAGATATAAGGGAATGTACAAATGCTGTACCAATATAAAAAATATTCCTTTTTAAATATATTTAAGTATATTTAAAATAATGAATATATTTAAAATCAAAATTTTATATCATTTAGAATCTAGAGTTATTGATTTATTTAATCATTGCATGCAGTACATTTCTTCTGTTCCACTCCAACAAACATATACTCGGTTCATCGGTCACTTGTCCATTATCGAATCGTTATGAATTGCACATTTCTGAAAGAAGCCGTTAAATTGAGTAAACTGTAAACCTGGATATTAATTAGCTTTTATTTTTATATTTTCAGTTTTCATTTTAATTTTAGTTTAAGGTTTAGATTTTTTTTCTTTTTTGTAATTTAATAATTTGCATTATCAATATTCACATTTCGTTTTAATAATTGTTTTGTTAATTTTAGATGTTTCCCTTTTTTAAATTAAAAAAAATACTTTAGTTTTTGATACTTTTAGTACTTCAATTTTTGTTTATGCTTAGGTTTTTCATCGAATATTTATATTTTGTCTTATTTCAGCTTTATTTCAACTGATTAAAAGATGTTTAATCATTTTAGTTAACAATAACAACATGGTTTTTAGAGAACCACTCTAACTGATTCTTGAGTGAATCAATGGTTCAGCTGTTACATTGAAAAGATTCGACTCAAGCTAACAATTCATTCATGAATCGAATATTATTCTCTCCCTTCCTGTCACCAGACACACTTAACCCTGCTGGTGCCCTGCCTCTTTTCTCTCCTTCTCTCCATCTCTTGTTATTTCTCTCTAGCCACTCGCAGCTCAAGTCCCACTCGTCTCATGTCTCTCCATCCTCTGTTCACCTTTCCCATCTCTCCCACTTACTTACTTTCAATCTGATTTTCATGCAGTTCAGCGATGAGATGAGAACAAGCTGTGAGGGAGGTCTGCGGAGTGTGTACGTGCTGAGGAGTGTGTTTGGGGGAGGTGGTTGGAGAGATTAAAGAAAGGGAGAGCTTGTGTGAGACACAGAAAGAGAGAGGTTTTGTCCGTGCTGCGAGAAAGCACACAGAGCGCTGTGTGTGCAGAGAGGAGGACTTCACAGAGATAGTGAGTGTGTGAACATCACAGAGATGGGACATTAGAGTGTTTGACCACTTGTGTGTGTGTGTGTGTGTGTGTGTGTGTGTGTGTGTGGGTGGAAAAATTGTAAGTGTTAAAGAGTTGAGGGAAGTATCAAAGCAAAAATGAGTGAAAGAAACATTTTATATCTCTCCGTCACAGACAGAGCAAGCAGCTGAATTATGTTAAACTTCACTCACTGACACAGGAGCACAAATTATTTCCTTTTTTAATACCCAAAATGAAAATTCTGTTATCATTTACTCACCCTCATGTTGCTCCAAACCTGTATGAGTTGCTTTCTTCTGTTGAACACAAAAGAAGATATTTTAAAGAATGTTGGGAAAGAAACAGTTGCTGGTAGTCATTGACTTCCTTACCGGCAACTTTTTGGTTATTAACACTCTTTACAATATCTTTTAACCCTAATAAACCCATACAGGTTTGGAGCAACATGGGGGTGAGTAAATGATGACAGAATTTCCATTTTGGGGTGAACTGTCCCTTTAAGGGAGCCTAACAACTGAAAATCAGTGGGGGAAAATGGTTAAGGATCTGCTGGCTTTAGCTTGTTAGTTTCCTTGTTGTGTGGGCAGTGGTCTTTCCTAAATCAATAGTTCAAATTGTTCATGTCTTCAAGCTACAGAGCAAAGGACACAAACAAAGTCTATAGAAATAAACACATTCACTTAATCTTAATCTCACTGTCTGTTATGTTTTACATACGCTGTATATCTTACAGGATCCACAAGAAGAGAATAATGAGTTAACAAATAACAAAATATCCACTGTGATATATCTGGCATATACCATATGTTATCTTCCATTTGGCTTTCCAAAGTACCTATGCTGTGATGATTTTCATTAGGTGAAAAAAAAGAGTTTGACTAACCTCCCACAACTTTTCCTCTTGGTTTGTAAAATGAATAGCTCTCTTTCATAAGACCACATACAATTATCCAGAGGAGTTGACATACTAAACCACAAAGATTTCTCAATGTTTGCATTGTGTGCAATTAAGTCAGTGTTTGAAATAATCCGGAGATGAGTCAATCGTTTTCATTTGAAGCATTTGAGCATCGTCTTTGTGTTGAATGCCTTGTGGCAATGTGAGACGTGGGTTGAATATGTAGGTAAAGCTGGAGGAAAAAATCTGAACAGGGTTTGTTGTCCTTTGCATTAATGCTCCATTGCAAGTTACTGTATATATTGAATGCCTGGACTTACTTTATTGTCTAAAAATACTGTGCAAGTAATCGTAGGGAGGATTTTACGCTTCATTACTGTTATGCTGTGTAAGCAAGGAATTTTTACTGTAAGTGAAGTCATTTAATAAAGAAGAAACACTACTGTATAAATACATGTATTATAATAATTATTATACATATTAACACATATTATTTATTATTATTTATTATAAATATAATGATCAATTCATTGTTTATAATTATTAATAGTATATGTATATATACTATTAAATATAAAAATGTCATTAAAAATGCAATTATAAAATAAAATGTTATATTATTATTATTATTATTATTACTGTTATTATTAAATTATTAAATAACATTTTCTAAGACAAAAAAAATAAAGAGTGCTTATTGCCCCTATATTTTACTGTGTTTTTATTTGTATTGATAATTATTTAATTTGTTTTATTTTAATGCATTTTTTATTATTTATTTATTATTAACATAATTATCAATTAATTGTTTATCATTATTAATAGTGTGTGTATATATTTATATATATATAATTTTTTTTGTTGCTTATTTTAATTTATTATTGTAATTTATTTAATATGACATTTTGTATAAAATATGTCATTAAAAATGCAATTATAAAATAAAATGTGATATTATTATTATTTATTATTATTATTGTTCAATTCATTTTTCTAAGACAGAAAAATAAAGATTGCGTGGCCCTCTTATTCCCCCTATATTTTCCTGTGTTTTTTATTTGTATTAATAATGATTTAATTTAATTGATATTTTATTTTAATGCTTTTTTTTTTTTTTTTTTTGCAGTGCGTAAGGAAAAAGTGATGTAATATTTATAACTTTATGTTCAAAAATCCTTGGGGTATGTGGGCTGTCGTAATTGTTTGACAGCTCACAATAAGCCACACATTTTTTTATTTTCAAGTGCCTCTAAACATTTGCCACATTGTTGTAAGAATGCATTACGTAAAGTTCAAGCACCCAAACACTCCAAATGCATGGAATAACTAAGATATAGCATATCTGCATCAGATGTGCATGAGATTCCAGCTGGTAGTTGTGACTGTGTATAGAAGCAGAGTCATTTGTTCGTTGTCTCCCACCCCACCCAAAATCTGCAGCACTCCAGTATTATTTCATCTGGTGAACCTGCAAGGGAAAAGACCCAGCCCTTGTCTGATAAGAGATAAATGACAAGCAGAAATGCGTCGACGGTAGATTAATCTGGGTATTTTTTGAAGCGCACTGAATGCCCAGCAACCAGACACGCTGGCCTGCAAGACCAGAGCTCTTAAGACCGATCAGGAAATGACTGCTGTGGTTGTTATTCTTTCTACTTGTCAAGGGCCTATTATCCCAGCACGGACGTTTAGTCTTATTAGTAGCCCCTCGTATATTTGCGGACAACGGGCTACTCCC